TAGAATTAACATATGATCCAGGAATCCCACTTCTAGCTATACACCCAAAGGAGTTTAAAGCAATGACTCAAAAAATATATATATATATATTTGTACATCCATCTTCATAGCAGCATTGTTCACAATAGCCAAAAAGTAGAAACAGCCCAACTGTCCACTATCAGATTAATACATTTTTTAAAATGTGGTATGTATATACAATGGAATATTATTCAGCTTTAAAAAAGAAGGAAATTCTGACACATGGATGAGCCTTGAAGACATTATGCTGAGTGAAATAAAATGAGCCAGTTACAAAAGACAGATACCATATGATTCTACTCATAGGAGGTATTTAGGGTAGTCAAATTCATAGAGACAGAAAGGAGAATGATTCTTGGCAGGGTTTGGGGAGAAGGGGAATGATGAGTTACTGTTTAACAGGTATAGTTTCAGTTGGGAAGATGAAAAATTTCTGGAGATACACTGTGGTGATGGTTACATAACAATGTGAAGTATTTAATGTCACTAAACCATACAGTGAAAATGGTTAAAACAGTAAATTTCATGTTATTTATATTTCACAATAAAAAAGTTAACTTAGCAAAAATATCACATTTTATATAAATATATTGCATTTTCTCCCCCATTTAAAGACAACCTGATATTGAAAGAGTTGCTAAAACTGGAGGCAGAACCATTTCCATATTTTCCTCATGTAGCCTTCTCCTTCACATTTTGAGAGAGAAAATAAACTTTCATCAGTTCATTTTGGCACATTTTTCTAGTCTTAGAAACTTCAGTCTCTGATGCCAATAAATACTCTAAAACTAAAGGAGCTTTTCATTTGCCTGAGTGAATAAAGGGTTAAATAAAATAAGCCCCTGGATTCTTGCCTCTGGCATCCCTAGATGCTAGGAGATACCTAGCATCTCCTCTGTCCTCACCTGGCAGGAAGGCCAGGGCTCCTTCAGGCGGAGAAGCATGAAACATAAAAGGGAAATACATCTCGATGTATTTAGTAATTTTCAATCATTTCAAACCATTTTCATTTCCTCTTCACCAATTATCTCAGCAATTGAAGGCTTACTTAAAGCAGTCTTTGGAGGCAAACACACAAAACTTCCTAGAGAAGAATACTTTAGAAAATCTACATTCTTATTAAATTTATTATTGGTTGCCATGCTTTTCAGATGGAAAATGATCTTTGGAAATGGGGGATGAAGTACCAAAGGCTGCTGGCAGATGCAACTAATCAGGATTGCTATGGACTGAACTGTGTCCCCCCCAAATTTATACAATAAAGTCCTAACACCCAATGCGACTGTATTTGGAGATAGAGCTTTTAGGAGGTAATTACGGTTAAATGAGGTAAAAAGGATGGGTCCTAATCTGATAGGCTCACTGACCTTATAAGATAAGAGAAAGAG